GTTAAATTTTGCTAGTCTTACTGGAGTGAGATGATATCTCATGGTTGTCTTGATTTGCATCTCTCTCAGGGCTAGGGATTTTGAACATTTCTTCATGTGATGTTGGCCATCTGAATGTCTTCCTTGGTGAAGTGTCTGTTCATATCCTGTAAAGCGCATGTTTTGAAAGAATGGTTTGTGCAAGTATCACAATTTCTTAAGGAGCAAAAACTCCTCACCTGATCAAAGCTCTTGGTGCCATGCTGTTTCTTTTTGACAAAAACATCTTCTCACATCACTGATCTTGGAAAAAAGGCCTTGATGTGCCTTGAGTATCAGAGAGCTTTAGGCAAGCAGTTCACATAAAATGGTTAGATAAAGCAAAGGATCTCTGAGTGAAATGTGCTCAGAGTGTCCCAGCTCAGGGTTCTGGAAAAATCTTCAGGGTGGTGGAGAGCACTCGCAATCCTTCTTACAAAGGATTGTCTCAGGGTGGCCTGACTCTGCTGAAGCCACGTTTATCACCCATCTTCAAGCTCAAGGCCCTTCAGCTCAAGCACAGGACCTGATCATTTAAGAATATAATTTGCTGAAGTAGTTCGAACTTGGCTTTGTGATCTCTTCTGGCTAGCATGTGAGGGAGGTCCAGAACACCCTCTTCCCAAATCAGAGACAAGGCAGTCAAGGAGCTCCTTCTGACCCACCCACCACCTCTGCCAAAGTGCTTAAAAAAGAAGTGTTAGGGACTTCATCAAAGTGCTAAAGAGTAATGACGTCAGTCTAGGAACTATGGTGCATCTGGTCCAGGCCATGGTCTTCATAATCACTTGCTGTGCATCAGAGAGCTGGACAATGACTAAGGATGACAGAAGAAGCATTGATTCCTTTGAGTTGTGGTGCTGGAGTCTTGAACATACCATGGACTGCCAAGAGAACAAACACATCTATCTTGGAGAGGGTGAAACTGTTTCTCCTTGGAGACTATGATTTTGAAGCTCCATCTCACATAATTTGGGCATATGGCCAGGAGGGACCAATCTTTGGAGAAGGACATCATGCTCGGAAGGGCAGAGGGACAGCTCAGGAGAAGACGACGCAGGATGAGATGGATTGATACAGTAACTGGGGTAATGGGGCTAGATGTGTTGGAGACAGTGAGGCTGGCTCAGGATAGGGCAGGATTCAGAGCTATTGTACATAGGGTCACTATGAGTTGCAGCAACTTGATTAGCACATCACCACCACCACCACCACCACCTTTGCCTGCAGGGCCCAGAGAAAGGGTGGGTGGAGAGAAGGAAACAGTAAATGCCTCCTAAACACCAAACTGCTTTCACATGCCTTGGTTATAAATGAACAATGGACAATGGAGTCCTCCCTCATTAGAGAGGAGCGTGTTCTTGGCATCACTAGCAGCGTCCTGAGTTTCTGTGTCATGGCTGCCAAGAGCGCACGCACACGGGAGGCTCCTGCTCCTGCTCGCCAGGCGCACAGGCTAAGGCCCTTGAGATGCAGTGACCTGAATCATGGCCGCCTCGAGAAGGTCACTGGCAGGTCACCCTGTGTGGGGAATAAGATGCTCTGCAGCATTAGAAAGCTGGCTGGAAGGAATATTTCTAAAGTTACTGGAAAGAGAAGAGGACCTTTCCTGGAAGGAAGTAGGTGGTTCGTGTGAGTGGGCAGCGGGCACTCACTACCAGAGAGCAGGGGAGGAGTGAAAGGACAGACACTCCCAAGCACAGGCCCTTTCAGGAAGAGATCTGGCGCCGCAGTTCACCTCTCATGGACCTGCTCTTCCCTCCACCCCTGCTTCATTTGTGAGGAGCTCTGGTGGCTGCTGCTTGTTAAGTGCCTGTCAAGTTGAAAACAACTAATGAACAATATTTGAGGCCTGTCCTGCCCTGTGTTGTCCTCACCATCTCTGACACATGTGAGCCCGTTGCTGCAGTCACTGTGTCAATCCATCTCTCTGGGGGTTTTCTTCTCTTTTGCTGACCCTCCACCTTCCCAAGCATGATATCCCTTTTCAACAGTTCTTTCCATATATGTAGTCAATCTGATTCCTGTACAGTCCATCAGATGAGGTCCAGGTGTAAAGTCACCTTTTGTGCTTTTTAAAAAAATATATTTGCTATGAATAAATCATTGAATGTACAAAATTCAATCATTCAGTCTCCAATCTCATTTCTCTCACCAAGCCCATACTTTCTTATTACTATTTCTTCCTCTTTATTTCCAACCTTTGCATTCCAGTCACCAATAATTGTTATTATTGGTAAGGAATTGCGCTGCCAAGCCAAAACTCATGGTTGGAGTATGCCAACTGCTCCCTAGGAGAAAGATGGGCAGTCTCCTCCTGTGTGATTTATTGCCATTAAGAACTTTCCGGAGGGTTAGCTCTGAGTAGGTTCTGACTTGATGTACGTACAAACAACATTTACACCGTCTCCCACAATCCACAACTGGTTTTGGTTAATTCAAAAGGGAAAGGAGAGCTGTTTGAAACTAGGAGGGTGGAACAACCTTCAGACACTTCTTCACTTCTTCATAGTTGGGGCTCTCCAGGGTGTGGGGCACCCCTTGTGTTCTCTGAAACAACCAACCATCTAGCTCTTCTGTCTGATAATGAAGATTCTCACATTCTCCTCTTTTTGATTCCTCAGGTCTTCTAGATCCTGTGCCAGTTTTCTGGTTTCATCCAAGAAGGATTTGGACTTGCCATTTTTGTTTGAAGTTCCAGGTTCCTTATACAAGGTACAAAATACTTTAAAAAAAAATCCCAAAACTTGAAAGTAGCACATCTAAGATGACATACACTTTGATTGCAAAGATGTTTCCTGTCATTTGGCAGAGTACCTTGCCTGGCACATCGTTAATAAATACTTGTTGCATGAAAGTAATAAGCACCTCAACGACCCCATCTCAAATGCCTGAGGGCCCCAGCCCTCTGGAAGTGAGAGGAAAGCATATCTTTTGAGAATGAGTATTTTGAAATAGGTAGAGTGGTAGTAAATTTATCATACATAAATCCTGTTAGTTTATTATGAAATAGTTGTGACAGGATGCACAAATAAGACCTCAAGATGTTTATTTAGAAGTGGACATTTGGGGTGCACAATTAGAATATGAATTTTCTCTCCAGGAATGTTTGACCACATTTCAGCCTTTGAGGGGGTTCTCTTGCAGCTCAGGTCTGAGGTAGGTTGTAGTGGGCAGAATTCTCATAGGTTCTCGTTCTTTAGAGAGAATCAGAGTGATCTTTTGCTGAATGTGCCAAAGTCCAGGGTTTATATGTGATTCTTCTCCCTTGGTTTTGCGTGTGAATGGTCAGATGATGTCATGCTTGATAACGACTACTGTGTTACATATTTTTTTAAGATGAAGCAGGTGATGTAATGTTACGTCTTTCTTTAAGATTAGAAATTTAAGGAGGGGTTTATGACAAGTTTGAATCTTGCACCCAACTTACAGAAACTTAGTTAAGTGTTTCCCTTTCTTCATCACAGCATGAGGGTACACAGCTACCTTAGAGGAGATGTTTCTGATTAACCACACACTGTTTCTGTTTCTTCTGCTAAATTCAGAAATTTTCTGACATCATGATATAAGTTACACGTGTATGGTTTTCAGAGAAAGAAAGTGTGCCTAACAAAGGTGTAAGGTTAGAATTATAAAAAGAAAACCAATAAGATAAACATTGCATAATCTGCCCAGGAAAGATTGTGAAATCTTCAGTGACCTGAGCCAATCTTAAGTTCTCTCCCCTCAAAATGAATTATTCATGTCTCCCACCTATAAACCTAGACCTCTCGAGTTGTTAAGTTAAACACTCCCTGGTGGCCTGCCGCCCACTGGGTGAGGAAAGGAAGGATCTTGGTGGGATCACCAATGGCCGGCTACGTGGTGACACTTAGTGGCACTGTGTGCTGGACAGAGGCTCCACTGACCTTACTGGGGCACTTCCTTGAAGGGCAGTGTAAGTAATCCCTTCTCCTGAAGCCTCACATCTCCTTCCTAGGGCAGTTGTAGGCTGCATATGAGCACAGCTCCTACCTCCCTAGCATATTTGACCCAGTGTCAGACTCAAAGCCAGAACTCAGTATGTATGAGCCCCATGTATTAGAAGCCCTGGAAACCCACTGCTGTCAAGGCAGTTCTGATTCACAGAGACCCTTTGTGAGGTTTCCAGGTCTGCCAATCTTTATGAGGAGACTGCCCACCTTTTACTTGCAGACCAGCTGGTCGATTCGAACCACCGACCATTCAGTTAGCAGCACAACGCAAAATGCACTACATGACCACAGCTTCCCGGGACATGAGTTGCCAAATGCTTATCTGGCCTTTTGTTTGCTTTGATAGAGATTCAGAGATGAGCGAGACACAGCGGTAGCCTGTACTAACGAGTGGGCTACGGAGCAGGTACACACAGCACGAGCATCACGGAACGGGACAGGTGTTTCCAGTAGAAGGGAGGGGTCACCTGCAGGCTAGGAGCGCCGTGAGCAGAGGGGCAGTGAAGACGTGGAACACACACTGGGTCCTACAGATGCTCATTTTCACACATGGAGGGAGGAGCTGGGGAGGAGGAAGAGCTGAATGGACTTCCAGGCCAAGGGAAGAG